TAATCCCTTTCAAAGTATCAGATTTATGAGTAAATTTTTTTATTCATATAATTCTTTGCTAAACAAATAATTTTTTATTTTGCGCGGTGAATTATGTAATAATAAGAAAAGTAAGATTGAAGTTAATTTTTTGGTTGTATTGGATGAAGTTACTGTAGATTATTTTTTAGTTATTTTAACATATATTTTTTTATTAATAGAATATGCTTTAAATTTTACTTTTTCATAAATCAGCAGAATCAGCCATTTAGCCACTTCAGTCATAACTTCATAAATTTTAGCAGAATCAGTTCATTCAGTCGATTTTGATATTACTAAACGGGCTCTTAGTCATGTAAAGTTTCTACAAAATATTAATTAGATGGAAAAAATATTAAGTGATTAAACCTAGTCAATTTTTAAAATTGAGGATACTTCTTTAAAAAAAATCAGGATACTTTAGAGGCAATAACAATTTTTTTAAAAGTATGGAGGCAAAAACAATTGAAGTACCATTAATTAATTGCACCTTTTAGAAGATTAAGAAAATTAGTTGCCCAAAATTATCGTCTCTATAATTGATGTCATGTTTTGAAGTAGATATTTTAGGGGTGATTATAACTTACAACAAACTTTTAGAGGCATCCCTAAAAAGGTTGCTCCAAATAATAACTTTTAGGGGCAACTATGCTTTTGCGACATGCTTTTAGAGGCACTCCTATAAAAATTGCTCCAAATAATACCTTTTAGAGGCAAGAAAACTATGGGTGCCTCAAATGTATTGAGAGCTTACAACATTAGAGGCAACCAAGATTATTTGATGCTAAAAAGGTCTTTTAGAGGCAAATTGCTTTAAAGTGTTGCCTCTATAAATGATTTTTGCTGTAGTGGATGGGCAATAAAAGTTCTCTAATATTCCCTTTATTATAATTTTATCGTAAAATTATATTGTTATTCATTGGTTTCCTAACCAGGTTTTCTTTGATTGACACATATTTAGGGGATGAATATGTTTGTTCTAAAGTATGACGCCGAGAAAAGACAGGAAAGAAAAACGTTAGGAACTATGTGTTGAGTTGCACAACAAGAAGAAGAAATTAGAAGTAAAGCCAAATCATGTAATGCGTAGTACATAAATGCAAGAACGATCTTGGCCTTCACTGTGTGTTATCCGGGTGTGACAGTTTTTGGAAGCTTGAGATTAGAGTCTGCCCCTTTTAGGATCAGGCACTCTCGGCTAATGCTGCAAAGCTGGACACAATGTGATCCCTTTGGATGTCTTCTTGTCCTGTCACTTTCAGAGCTTGCAAGTTGTTAGCAAAATAGATTCCTAGGCTAAACATTGAGGTTATAGAGTATAGATGAGAGGGGTTTGCCGGAGTCAAGGTCTGAATATGAGTGTGTTCAGAAACTATATGTATGTCATTCTGTTGTTGTCCCGATCTTAGAGGTGCTCTTATTGTCCTCTAGATTTTATCTGTGGTTGAAAATCATGAGAGGAGGTCCAGGTGGGCATTTTGGAGTGGCAAGAGGGGGAGGCTGATGTTCCTGGGTGTGTATTGGAGGAGGGGGTGGAGTTCTGATGCTCATTTCGTTCTGTAGAACATTTTTGGTAGCTATTAAGAGTAATAAATATTTAGGACAACATTTCCTTATGTTTGCGTTATTATTATTTAAACATGCCCTGTTTGTTCACCAGTAAAAAAAATATAATACCTGAATGCAATAATTGTATAACTTATAAATATTTGTTGCAATACTTTATATTTTTTTGTTTCTTTTTGTTTCTTTTTTGTGTTGCTTTTTCTTGTATTGTGTTGTATTTTATTGTATTCTGTTGCTTTTTGTTTTTTATTGTGTATTGAGAGTTGTGATTGATTTTTTTTTTATTTAGACTTATACGTTTTTTCAACATTGGAATAAAAACCAACACACACAAATTTAAACAAATCTGGACTTATGAAATCAACAATAAGAAACATGAATAAACAATAAGAAACAACATTTGTAAATAAATCAACAAAATGAAACACAAAGAAACTAAAATAAAGATAAAGTATAAAAGGCCACTTTATGATAATTAAAATTTGTAACTGTTTAAAAATATCAAATTAAAAAAAATCCCATTTTGTAATTTTTTATTTTTTATTTTTTCTACATATATTGTAAATTTTTATATGTTTGAATTTTTTTGAATATTTTATAACTCTAACACTTTATTCGTTTTTTAAACTTTCATGGTTGTTGGAAATGATTTGTTTTTAAAAGTTTTAGTTTTTTAAAATTATACTCCGTATATATTTATTTTTAGTTTTATGATGTTTTTGGTAATGATTTGTTTTTAAAAGTTTTAGTTTTTTAAAATTATACGTAGTATATATTTATTTTTAGTTTTATGATGTTTTTAATTTGTATTTATATTTTAAGTTCTATCAATTTTCTTTTTTTATTATATTTTAAGTTCTATCAATTTTCTTTTTTTATTATATTTTTGACAGTTTCGTAATTTTTACATATGTGTACTACCCAGTTTCTCATATGCGCATTACCCAATTTTTACATATGTGTATTACCCAGTTTAACTTCTATCAATTTATATCTTATTTTTAAAACTTTTTTACATTTTATTGTTTTAGTTTTGTACGTCTAAACTTTCTACATGTTTTTACTTTTTTACACTTGTCTAGTTTTTTAAAAATTAATTTACATTTTTATTTGACGAATTTCTTTATAAATTTCATTTTTTAATTTACCTATTATGTGCTTTCATTTTTTTATCATTTAGAATTTATTTTTTAGTGATTTTTGTGTGTTTTTAACCTTTTTATAATTATTTTACTTTTGTTTCCAGTTTTGATGTAACAAACAAAAAATGAGTATTCTCAAAAAAAAATTACGTGACTCAAGCACGTTCTCTTTGCTTATTACTTCTATTTGCAAGGCCACTTCCATTCCGCCGTACAAATTAACGAGATACGTCCACTGTCCGTCATTCTACAGTGTTAAATATTGTTGAAAAGTAAAGCTTACTTGGTCTATTTTTGAAAAAAAAAATTGGAAGTTGACAAAAGTGATAGCAGTTTAAATTATGGAAGCTTACAGTGTCAAATCATGAATTTTTGATATATTTTTCAACAATCGGAATACGAATTAAAAAGTTATAGCAGTTTAAAATGAACAAGTGATATTTTTTTAGTGGGACCAGAGTTCATCTCCACCTCTTGTGTTTATGAGCCGTTATGTTTTTTTTTTTCTCTTTGCCTGAGCCTCCACTTTAAGTGGCGGTTTTGTTTAACTTTTGTTAATTCCAGCAGTATTTTGGAAAATAATTTTAATTTGACCCTAATTTTGTAAATATTTTTCTATTTAGCATTATTTTGATAAAAAAAAAACTCAAAATTCTCGCACTTTTTCACATCAAGAAGACTTTAGCATTTTCTTATCATTTTCACACCTAAATTGTTTACACTTTACAATTCTTGTCTTCCAAGCCAACGTAACCACTCAGTGCACAAAGGAGATTGTGTTGTCCTGGTACTTGAACGAATAAATTAAAGGGATGTGTGTAGGGTCAAATGGCCTTCTAGGGTGGATCTCGTTATAGATTACACATACACATTTGAGACATACAGTACATATTTGTATTACATGTGATTGAGAGGGATTTTGACAGTAATTTGACAGAGATTTTGGCAGGGAGATGCCAAATTCGTGCCAAAAACACTTTGACAGGAGATTTTGGCACGAAAAATTGATAAATCTGTGCCTACTAATACCTCTTCCTAAAAGTTTGTCTTCTATGAGTTCATAAGCGGAGAGTTTTACTCCTTTTCTTTAATATTTGATTAGAAATCTTAAAAATATCTTGAGCCTCATAAGAAGAGGATCTCATCAAATTAGAGTTTGCTTCGAATGCCAGAAGCAAAATAGTACGTGACTTCAATTCAACGCTCAGAGGTGTATCTCCATCCCCTGATCACTAAGCAAGAGTAACATTCCAGATAAAAATGATGATTTTGATGTACGAGCGTTGGACCTTGTGATACCATCGTGACATCAAAATTGAAAGTGCTTGAATGCAAACTCACTTTCACATTACAAAAAAGATTACGAGATTGATACGGATTTGATACAGATTTATCGATGGTTTCGTAACAAATGGCTCGTGTCAAACCATTTTTAGCACATATTTGACATATCCTTGCCAAAATCTCTACTAATTTTAGGGAATCTCTACCAATAAATGGGAATCATGTGTTTTTTGTAGTGGATTCATACACAAACACAAATTTTCGCATAGCGTAGAAACACACGAAATAATCTCGATTTTCCATGTCACTAATATAGCTTGTCCGCCTTTCTCGACTCAATGGGCATTGACCTACCCTTCCCCTAGAGTATGTGACTAATTTTCTTTACATTATGCGAATTGTATTGTCACTAGATTTTCCTTTATAAAAAGTTTAAATTTTGGCCCGGCTAATGATGACAAAGTACAGAAAGTTGTGTAGACTATAGATGAAGAAAACATAAAACGTTGAAATATAAGAAGTGAGGGAAGTAACGACAACAAAATATAAGTGAAATGAAGAAGATAAAGACTAAATTTAAGAGATAGTGTGGATATTGAAATTATTCAATATTTTGGACTTATTATTTATGATGGTCCTTAATATTATTGAGCTCATTTAAGTATTATCGGACTATTATACGCCTTATTGGGACTCTTTTGGAGGCTATTGGACCGACGTCGGATTCTACTGAGCTGCTTGTGATGGTTATTGGGCTTGATAAAATAAAATATAATATTAATATGGGCCCGTTCGAATATAATTTAGTGATTAAGTTAATTCGGATTGTTCAACTGTCCAATTAATTTAATTATAAATTAAATCTTTAAAAGAATGAGTTGGTCCTATTAATCTTGAGTCCATTATCAAATAGCGGCCCAATATAGAAGAGACATGATCCAATTGATAAAGAGAGCAATGAATTCAGTCAAGAAATCTATCCAAATGCATGAGAAATGGCTGTGAACCTTGTTAAAAAGGCTGTCCAGATACATTATATAAGTGCTGATTTTTCTAGCCATTAAAATGCAAGCAAATAGAGCCCGAAGCCCATTTTAATTGAGGCCCAAGGGGTATGGACGAATTTTCTAAACCCTAAAGCATATTTTCACCCCCTCACACCTATAAATATGGGTCTCAGATGAGAGGAATGGAGGAGAACTTCCAGACGAAGAAACGCTGCAGCAAAGCTCTGAAGAACTCCCGAAAGGGTTTGAAGGATTCCGAAGAAGAGGAAGAGATCAAGCCACGTTTTTGTCAAGAATATATGAATAATCCTTTGTGATTTCATCGATTCTTGATCAAACAAAGCCAAAAGTTGAAGAACGTTCGAAGATCTGAAGAACGAAGCTTGAAGATTCGAAGATCTGAAGAACGAAGCTTTGAAGATTCGAAGATTTGAAGAATGAATCTTTGAATATTTGAAGATATTCATATGAAGATTGAATCAATATTCAATTGAAGAACAAGCCATATATCCCGGGAAGCCCTTTAACAGAAGATCAAGCCACATAACGGCCCTTTTGTTGAAGATCAAGCTACTTGAAACCGGAGGCCCTTCAATATTGAATTTTGCATTCAAGAAGATTTGAAGATCTGAAGAACGAAGTTCGAAGATTCGAAGATCTCAAGAACGAAGATTCGAAGAATCGAAGAACGTTCGAGTTTTTGAAGAATTAGAGATTTAATTTTTTATTAAATTCTTTAATTATATTCATATCAAATTGCAAGTGAAGAATCAGAGGATTCATATTTAGAGATTGTACCCGATATTTTCACATATTATTATTTGCGATCAATTTTAAGTAAATACTTAAAATTTGTTTCACAGATAGATATATAGATAAAAACTTCTAAATTACTTCTTCTTAATATCTGAAATTTCTGAGTATCTGAATTAATTTACAAGGCATCGCTCCTATTTATATTGGATCAAAAATTGATTTATGAATAAGTCAATTGAATTAGATCTAGGCATTCAAGGACGAATTTTACAAATACAATACTCCAACGAATTCAAGTTTCTTATTTTTTTTAAGCATGTTTTCATTTTAGTTTCACTTTTCCCCATTTTTTCGAACCCCAAAGAATTCATTCATTTACATACTCCCCTTATTTGATTCTCATCTATTCAATTTATTTATTGCAACATTATTTTCAATGACTAAACGACAGATCTTTAAATGATGAAAACAGAACCACCGCTAGAAATAAATGTATACTCTTTAGCATAAAAATGACCATAAAACAAATAGGGAGTACATGCCTAAAAGAAAGATACGTAATACTGTAAAAAGGGGATAAAGGTCAGTTTGGTCCTTGAAGTTGCAAAAAAGGAGTCAAATAAGTCCTTATATAGAAGATTCTGTCCGGAAGTGTCATTTGAGGTGGCTCCCGGTGGAATTTTTTGATGAAATTTTTTGAGCATCTTATTCATTAAGTCTAGTTTACTCATATCAAATTTCAAATAAAAATTCAATCGGGAAGACATTGAAATGAATGCTTGAAGATAATTGTGTCGTTAAAAGCGTAGTTATCTTCAAGAATTCATTTGAATGTCTTCCCGATTGAATGTTTAGCTGAAATTTGGTATGAGTAAACTAGACTTAATGAATAAGATGCTCAAAAAAAATTATCAAAAAATTCCACCGGGAGCCACCTCAAATGGCACGTCCGGACATAATCTTCTATATAAGGACTTATTTGACATCTTTTTTACAAGTTCGAGTACCAAACTCACCCTTTACTCCTATAAAAAGCAATGAGCAATATATATAGTGAAAAAATGAAAAATCAAACAATAGTTACAAAAAATAACATTATTATACTCCGTAATATGTTTACAAGTAGGGGATCGGAAATCAATCTTTGCTTCGAAATTTGAGTTTCTATATCATTTTCAAAATTATTAAGATCAGGATTTGTACGTGAAATTCAAAAATTCAGTTAAAACGGGTGTGAACTTTCATATGAAAGGGAAAATGTGACGTAGTTTCGGATTTTATTGTGTGTTAATTTATTACTCCCTCCGTCTCATTTATTTTGTCCATTTTACCTTTTCGGGAAGTCCCACTTATATTGTCTCATACCATATTTGACAAAGTTTGTGTGGCTCTAAATCATTCTTACTTTATTCTTACTTTATCAATTAATATTAATCACACAAACCCATTTTTCTTAATAACCGTGCCACCCGAAACAGGATTAAATGGGACGGAGGGAATAGTAATTTAAAAAACGGGCTCCGAAATCAGATTTTATAATAATAATAAATGGGGTGTCAAATGCAGTCTACTTCAAGTTAAGCATTTTCAAACGGCAAAGAAAAAGTTTTAAGTATTTTCATTTCGAATTGACAGAGCTCAAACAAATAGAAATTCTCTACTCTTAAACTTAAAGTAGCTAAAGCAGTTTATAATCCTGATCTTAAGGAGGAATTAATAGAATTTGGATCAAACGAAACATGATGGAGAAAAATATGAATAGATTTTGTGCATTAGACTTAGGAACTATGCATTATGTGAAACATAAATATGTGCCTTAAATTAGAAAATGTCATTATACATTTATAAATTTTTAATTTTTCTTCCAATTTGAACTGTATTATCTTAAATGGTAAATGTGCAGTATTCACCATAGTATCACCATAGTATCGTCTCGAATTCTGCTCATTTATCATGAAAATGACCGTTCGTTTTTGCGAGGAGGGGATCGGGGATTCATAACCCGCTCCGGCCCCGAATAGTATTGGATCCTGTTTCGGATTGGGTAGGACCGCCGGGGCGAGTCCCGCAGGGCCGGCCCAGGGCATGTGCTGGCAGTCTAACCGCACAGGGCCCAGAATAAATGAAGGCCCAAAAAATTAAAAATATTAAGACTAGAATAATTAAAACCCAATGCAAAATATCAACCCAATTGCAACCATTTTTCTAGTAACACTTCGTACGGAACCTATACGAGCAAAGGATGTTTTCTTTTGGACTGTTTTCAGTACCAGACCAGACCAGACTTAAACATACCAGACCAGACCAGACTTAAACAGACCAGACTAGACTAGACCAGATTTCCGTAGTTATAAAATACATAGAGACCAAATGTTTACCAGACCAGACCAGTTCAGACCAGACTTAAACAGACCAGATCAGAACATACCAGCAAATTTCAGTCCAAAAGAAAACATCCAAAGTCACACTCCCCAATTGCTCGGCCTATTTAAAGCAAGTTAAATACTCCGTTATTAATACGGATAAGTTATTCACAAGCCATCACCGGCCTAGGGCTTAACAAACCCACCAGTCCACAACCCACAACTCCACGTTAGGTTTCAAATTAAAACATTGAAATTATTAAGTTATTTCTTTTTAAATTGTTAATTTCGCAGTTTAGCTTAGCAATATGATATTATTATTAGGTTATAAGGTTGTTAAATTACTAGAATATGCTCGAATAATGTTTCTTTCTAAATGAAATATACTTGGTTAACGGATACTTTTATATGTTGACTATTTTGTTCAATAATAACTCGTAGTCGATACAAATTGAGATGTTTTTACTTTGACAAATTATTGCTCTTTTAAATGTTATTCCCGATTCCTTTAGTGATGTGCAATCTGCTATTAAATATGGTAGAGATAATGTGACTCTTGACATTGTAGTTAATGGTTTTAAGAGTAAGGAATTAGATTTAAAACAGATGGGTGAGGGTACAAAATCCCAGGAGGTTATGCATGTGAGGGGTAGAGATAATAGTAGACGACATAGATATAAGTCTAGGTCTAATTCGAGGCGTTGCTATTATTGTCATGAACCTGGTCAATTCATAAGAGACTATCCTAAATCTAGGAAAAATGAGCATAGTGAGCATGCTAATTTGACTACGTGTGAAGATGATTTAGGTGATGTTTTTATGATGAGAAATCTATGTGATTATGACTATTTGAGGTCTGTGATATCTGATTCTTTGGGTAAACACTACAGGAAAAGTGCACATAGACCAATTTTTTTTTGCGATGGCCGCATAACTGTCGTTAAAAACACCATTAACCACACATTTTTTATTTATCACATACAAAACTGTGGTAAAAGGTCAGAGACGACAGTTTTTAACCGTGGCCAATGTTTTTACCACGGTTGTTGTGGCGACGCACGTAAAACTGACGCAAAACTGTCGTAAATGTTCCTCCTTACGTTTTTACGAGAGTTTTGCGACAGTTTTACGTGCGTCGGCACAACAGCTGTGGTAAAAACATTGGCCACGATTAAAAACTGTCGTCTCTAAGCTTTTACCACATTTTTGTGTGTGGTAAATAAAAAAATGTGTGGTTAATGGTGTTTTTAACAACAGTTATGCTGCCATCGCAAAAAAAAAATTGTGGTCCATGTGCAGTCTATGTGCACTTTTTTTGTAGTGAAATCAGATTGGGTGGTAGACACTGGTTGTACTTTTCATATGTCCCCATTGAAAAATGTTTTTTCAAACTATAGAGAGATTGAGCAAGGTTTTGTGTCTTTAGCAAATGAGAAGAAATGCAATGTGTTAGGAATAGGAGATGTATGCCTAAGGTTCTCTTCTGGTTATGTGCTTACTTTGAAGAATGTTAGGGATGTTCCTGAGATGTACTGTAATTTGCTATCTTATGCTTCTCTTGAAAATGAGGGTTTGAAGGGAAAATGGGGAAAGGGAATCATGAAAGTTGTGAAGGGTTGCTTAGTTGTTTTCAAAACTGAGATGAAAAACAACTTGTATGTTTGTCACGCTGAACCCGTACTTGATTCTGTGAATTGTGTGCAACCATACGTGCCTAAGTCTACTGATGTGCTTGATTGTATTCATGCTGATATATGTGGTCCTTATAGTGTTTCCACTCATGGTGGGAAAAATTATTTTATGACGTTGATTGATGATTTTTCAAAGAAAGTGTGTGTTTTGTTGACTGAGAATAAATCTAAAGTTTTTGATAAGTTTAAAAACTGGAAAACCCTTGTTGAAAAACAAACCGGTAAGAAAATTAATTTTTTAAGGACCAATGTCAGTTTTGATTTTTGTGATAATCAGCTTGGTGATTTATGTGATACTTGGGGTATTTCTATGCATAAATCTGTTCCCTCCACACCCCAACCGGATGGGGTTGCTGAGAGGATGGTTAGAACTTTATTAGAGAGGGTGAGGGCTATGTTAGCTTCATCTGGGCTCTCTAATAAGTTCTGGGGGGAAGCTATTTGTTATGCTGTTGATTTGATTAATTTGTCCCCGTCTGTTCCCTTAGGAGGGAAATGTCCCGAATCTGTGTTCATGGGCAAACCGCTTGACTTGCCAAATTTGAGACTGTTTGGTTGTGCTGCTTATGTGAATCGTGAGAATGATAAATCTGATCTTAGGACTAAGGAATATGTTTTCTTAGGATATCATGAATGCATGAAAGGTTATAGGCTTTGGTGTAGGAGTGAAACTTGCTTCAATGTGTTGATGAGTAGAAATGTCATTTTTGTTGAAAATGAATTTCCTTGCTTGCTTGTTTCTCCTGATGTTGCTCCAAACGAGGTGGAGCATTTGCCTGTTGAAGTTCATTCTGATTTACTTGTTGAAACCAAACTCAAATTTGTGAATGAAAATGATTTTCATGGTGAAAATAAAGAAAATAATATTTCTATTAAGGTGGAGCATGATATGAATGTTGAGTGCAATATGCTTGAGTTGCGTGATTGCTATGTTATTAGAGATAGAGACATTAGGGAGCATGAGAGAAAGAATAGGTGCAAAGTGTTTGACTATATTTCCTCTCAGTTTGCTTTAAATGTGCTTAATTCTCTTTTAATTAAATT